AATCTACGAATCATGAACACCTGAGGCTCCTTGCCTGAGGATTTGGAAATTTACCTAGTGGTTCCTCACCATTAGGACTTTAAAATTTGCCTAGTGACTCCTCATCAGTAGGACTTTGGAAATTTACCTAGTGGCTCCTCACCAGTAGGACTTTAGAAATTTGCCTAGTGGCTCCTCGCTAGTAAGACTTTAGAAATTTGCCAAGTGGCTCTTGGCTCCTCGCTAGCAGGTCTTTGAAAATTTGCCCAGTGGCTCCTTGCCAGTAGGACTTTCGAAATTTGCCTAGTGGCTCCTCGCCTGTAGGACTTTGGAAATTGCCTAGGGGCTCCTCGCCTATAGGACTTTGGAAATTGCCTAGGGGTTCCTCGCCTATAGGACTTTGAAAATTTACCTAGTGGTTCCTCACCAGTAGGACTTTAGGAATTTGCCTAGGGGCTTCTCGCCTGTAGGACTTTGGAAATTGCCTAGGGGCTCCTCGCCTGTAGGACTTTGGAAATTGCCTAGGTGCTCCTCACAAGTAGGACTTTGGGAATTTGTCTAGGGGCTCCTCGCCTGTAAGACTTTGGAAATTGCCTGGGGGCTCCTTGCCTGTAGGACTTTGAAAATTTGCCTAGGGGCTCCTCGCCTGTAGGACTTTGAAAATTTGCCTAGGGGCTCCTCGCCTGTAGGACTTTGGAAATTTGCCTAGTGGTTTCTCACCAGTAGGACTTTGGGAATTTACCTAGTGGCTCTTCGCCTGTAGGACTTTGAAAATTGCCTAGGGGCTCCTCGCCTGTAAGACTTTGGAAATTTCCTAGGGGCTTCTATCTTGTAGGACTTTGGAAATTTGCCTAGTGGTTCCTCATTAATAGGACTTTGGGAATTTGCCTAGGGGCTCCTCGCCTGTAGGACTTTGGAAATTGCCTAGGAGTTCCTCGCCTGTAGGACTTTGGAAATTGCCTAGGGGCTCCTCGCCGCCTGTAGGACTTTGGAAATTGCCTAGGGGCTCCTCACCTATAGGACTTTGAAAATTTGCCTAGAGGCTCCTCGCTTATAGAACTTTGAAAATTGCCTAGTGGTTCCTCACTCGTAGGACTTTGAGAAGGCTTCAAACAGTGGGTGCCTTGATCATGAGTTATGTGATTTTGAGGTTTCACTAACCTTTGTATGATTTTTAGTTGATCAAAAACTATTTTTAAAAAATGGTTTTGAAATTAATCAAAACTGTTTGAAGCGTGGTTTTTTTTAGCTTACCACAAACTGTTTGAAAGCTTGATTTTTGGTTGACCAAAAACTTTTGAAACCTGATCTGGAAACATGCATTCTTTGCATTAATGCATTTCAGACAATCAAATTTCCTTTTCAAGAAATTATTTGAACAAAGTGCTTGCAATCTTTCAAGAAATGTTTGAAATGATCATTTGGAAGACCTTCATTAGAAAGGATTTGTCTCAATCTATGAACTTGGTCTTTTTTTCATCTGATTGAAATGGGACTTGTCTGATATCCCTCAATTTTATCTCTCTTAACCAATCCTTGTTGTTCGGAGATGTTCGCAATGTATACAATCTAATTGATTCGATAAGGTCTTTCAAAAGATTGTAATGTTGGCTTGGTCAATGGCTATTCAAAGGATAGGCATTTTGAGGCCAAGAAAAAGGATTTCATCATATCTGACTCTGGGTCTACAAGTTAAGAACCTCTAAGACAAGACAAGATATTATTGCATATACTTCTTTGAGCGATGACTTCTTGTCATAAAATCATGTTTCTACTCTCAACATCCCAATCTGAAGAGTCTTTGAGGAGAGGTTGTATTGTTGGTATTAGGTAAGCTCAAAAGAGGCTCATTTGTTTGAATTGAGGGTTTTTATGAAATTGGTGATCTTCTTGGCATCACTACCCCTTTTTCTTTTGTCTATTAGGGGTCTTTCTTTTTATGAACATCAGAGCCCCCTAAACGTTTATTACGATATCTTTTCTTTTACTCATTCTCACTTATTGTGATCTATGATCTCTCGTGATCTTAGCTTTGCTTTTGTCGCGACCTCCCCGAACCGGCCCCGCCGCCTAAGGGGTTTGGCTAATGAATTACTAAGTTAAACCTAGCTCGAGCTCTCTCAAGCCCATACCAATTCGCGACTTAGGTTTAAGTTATTAACATGCAAATCAATTTTATTTCGGAGTCGCCACTAATCAATTTTTGGTGGGTCGATTAGACACCCAAGTAAAGCACGGGAGAAATGCTTCACTTCTACGAACCAGAGATTCAATGGGTACAGGGACTTGATTATACTAATTGACCAATTAGTACCCTTTCGGTACCTAACCTTATTCAATTACTACCTAACGTGTTCACACTAATCGGAAGTTTCAAAAATCGATTCCTAACCAAACTAGGGTGAGCAATAATCAACACAAGAACCTAACGTGTATGATCAACTACATACGAGGTTGAATTAAACGCGCGATTCAAAGTGTGTGAACCAAGCAACGTGTAATCAAACATGACACTAATCATACAATAGGGCAAGAAAAGCCAATTTCAAAGCCCAAACAATATTTTTTGATTTTCCGGATTTTTTGGAATTTTTCTAAAATTTTTTGAATTTTTTGAATTAATTTTTTTTTAAAATTTTCTGAATTTTTTAATGTTTTGTTTGGCCGATCCAAGGATAGTTAGGGATCAATTCGCCGCTGTCATACGAGTGGATCGCGGGTGATTCCGCTTGACCACGAGATAAGTTGACGAATGACCCTAAACCTATACCAAACGATCGCACACGTCGGAATTAGCAATCGATCCTCGTGATTATATGACAACCGAGGTCGTCACGACCCAAGTGAACTTAAACGTGGTTTGATTCAGTATCGACCACGGGTCGAATATGCGAATTTCCCGAAAGCCACACGTTAGTTTGAGATACGCTCAAGCTACGTTATTTAAATTTAGTCATTAATTAGAGATCAAGTTTGGGCATTGGAAATTTCGAAAGTCACGATAGGATAATTGGACGACGTTGTTATTAGTGCGGTCAGCCTCTGATTCGTCCGGATTCTTCAGAAAATTTGAATTTTCGCAAGAAATGAAGAATGACCATTTTGCCCCTAGGACTTTGTTAAGGCCAAATGTTGTGTGAGAAGGGCATTTTGGTCATTTCACACCAACTTTAGGGAAAAAAAATTTTGGACAAATTTACTCTTGGAAATTTTGTGAAATTCCAATTTTGCCCTTAGATATTTTTGGTAAGGATTGATCTTGACCGTTGATCTCAAGATAAGGTTTAATCATGGCCGTTGATTGGAAAATAGAAAGGAGGGTAGGATGGTCATTTTATAGGGGATGGACACCAATTATTGGTGTCATTAGCCTATTTCTCTCATTTTCTCTCTCTCATCCTCTCATTCTCTCTCTCTCTCTTGTCAACCTCTCTCCCTCACCCCTCTCTCGGCCGAGCCTTCCCCTTCCCACCGTGAAGTGGCCAGCCGGCCACACCCTTCGCCGCCGTTCAACCACCGTGCCGGATAGCCGCCGCTCGGTCGTTCCCGATGCTGCGGCCTCGCCACCACCACCTCACCGTCTCTCTCTCTCTTTTCCCACCGTAAAACACCATCACCAGCCACCCTTTTTCAGCCAAGAGCAACCGAGACACCAGCAGTCCATCGCCGCCGATCGTGGGTGCCGGTGAGTCGCCGGTATCCCTTTTCGTGGGCCACCGCCGCCGCTGCTGCTTGCTCTCTGTCCAGCCACCTTTGAGGGCTTGATTTTGCATGGAATCACAAGTAAGTGATACCCTAACCCTCGCCTAGGATAACGGGTAATTTTGGGTTAGTTCGGGCCCGTTTTAGCAAGTTTAAGGGGTTATTCGTAGAGAAATGGTTGGACTGCTTTGGATGAGTTGTTGGGATGAAATTGTGACGATTTTGAGGTGGATTGGAAGTTAGAATTGATTGATTTTGTGATTGGAATGATTACGAGTGATTATTGTGGCTTATTGCGTGAAAAACGGGCCTAAATATGCCGTTATAGTGATTTTTCAGTGGTGGCCGAATCACTGTTCATTATGTGGCTGAATTGATGCATATTGGTGATTAAGATATAGTACTTGTTGGTTTGGGGTTGTCGGTAGGAGTACGACGCCCGTGAATGGTGAAATTTGGCTTAAAATGCAAAAATTCGAGTTAAATTGTGCACGTACGAATTGAATTGGTAAAAGTGTGAGTTGGCATGGCTTACTGGTAGCCTGCATATGTTGGATGACGTGTGCGAATTGGTCGTATGAAATTGGCATGAGATTGGGTGCCGATATGTTACATGGCCATTAAATACCCTAAGGCGTTTTTACGCGGGGTCTAGATAAAATGTGGTGTGTTAACGTGCTCGCTTGGTCGCATAATCCCTGAGGCGTGTACTATAATGTGGGGAAATGAATCCGTCCTGAGGCGTATACGGTAACGCGGGATGATGCCCGGTATTACCGGAAGACCGCCAACTTGAGGCGTGTTCGTTTACGCGGGTTGTGCCGTAGGTGGAGGATGTTGAGCCTGAGGCGTGTACTGTAACGCGGGCAAGAGACATAGCCTGAGGTGTGTACTGTAATGCGGGCTAAGGAGTGTCGTGAATATGAGACGGTCATATGTGGACCGTAGATGGAAAGTGGACCTGAGGTGTAATTACGCGGGTCGTTGGCAAGTTTAATGAAAATAGTGTGGTGAGGCATGAATGAGTGTGTGAAATGCGGAATTGGAAATGCCATGTGTTCGACTTGTGTTTTGGGCATGAAATTAATTTGGAATGTGCATATGGTTGGAATTTGTGTAATTGAGACTAACGTGCAGATTGTACGCATTAAGAGCCCAAGAAAGTGCAATTGTGTGCATGTTGTGTTTTTATTGAGTGATATGGTGTTCGGACTTGTCTGGAGGTACGTGTTAGCCTAGGTGGAGTTTAGAGTGTTTACTTGCTGAGACGTGTTCTCATGGTTGTTTAACTAAACCATTTCAGAACCCCGGCCTGGACCATGAATCCTCCGCCGCCACCGCTTCAGCGTTTTGGTATACCCATGCACATCGACCATGCAGTTATAGAGTATCTTGTAGGAGATGATATGGCTTGGATTAAGCATACTACAGTAGTCTGGGTAGATATAGGACAACCCCTGTGGCAGGCTCACAGCTATACAGCCTGGTGTTTCCAGGATGGTATGGACGAGTTCGGTCCCGTTCGAGGTTTTGATGTCCCTTTTGACGGAGTGGGAGATTGGGATCCGTCAGCTATACCTCCTCCTGATGGGGAGATGACTAGCCTTGACACTAGTCTTGCACAGTCAGGACATCAGCCTGTACTTGCAGCACCCGAACCTTCAGTGGCTGAGCCTGATCCGAAGCCGGAGGAGTCACAGGTAGGATATGATCCGATGGACGTGGATATAGGAGAAGTACCCGAGGAGGAGCCCATAGAAGAGGAAGAACTGGAAGATGAACCAGAGGAGGAAGAGCCAGAGGAAGAAGAACTCGAGGAGGAAGAGCCGGAGGAAGAACCAGAAGAAGAACCCGAAGAAGAGCCAGAAGATGAGCGAGAGGATGAGCCCGAGGAGGAACCGGAGGAAGAGCTGCCGATTGACGTTCCAAACGATTCTGATGATGAGCCGATAGAGATTGAGGCGGATTCTGAGTCTTCTGAGGAGTAGGTGGCTCAGGGGGAGTCAGATTCGGGTTCCGAGGAGACTGACTCGGAGTGGATGCCGTCTAGAGGGCGTAGGGGTTAGATTAGGGGTAGTGTAAATGCTTTGAAGTGTCCCATTTTTGGAGTTAGAGTAGACCCAGACTACTGGTCCTTTTTGATATCGGTAGTGTAAACTTTAGAAGCCCGGTGTACGTGAATAATATGTGTTTTGTAAGTGGTGTATGTTGTATATGTTGATTTGGTATCAAATGTATAGTCTCTCTATTACCCTTTTCTAAATATTGTCTGGGTGTTTGGTTGCTTCCACTGGTGCTTTATATCTGGATGTATGGGGTCGTCGACATCCTGGGACGTCGCGATATTCGACCATAGAGGTATGTCACGAGCTCGATGGGGTTCGGGGAGTGACAGAATGCCCTAGCCATCTAACTCGATTCTAATTACTAACAAAGCATCAAACAAGGTTGAAGGAAGCTAACTTGACAGGCTTATGGCCACGGTGATGCTCCGGCGATACTGTTCGAGCTCTGGCGAAATGGTTTTCATGCATGGCCGACTCGGTTTGTGCAAGTTTAACACCCCAAATGCAACGAAACAACACACATGATGATTAGAACATGTTTTAAGCATCAAACGTAAGAAAACCACAAAGAAACACACAAGTTTGAGCTAAAATTTAGTCTGGAAATTCTGGAAAAATATGATGAAGATCAAACTTTACCTGCTTCGTCCGGGATTGAAATGTTGTCCTCGGGCTAATCGGTCACCGTGGAAGTCTTCCTTGACACTTGATCTCCAAGTTGATGGCTTCGGTTTTGCCGGGAAGGTCCTGGATCAACTGGCCGGAACTCGGTTTCAGAGCTTCACGGTCAGCTTGCCACTAGTCACCCGAGGAGGAGATCCTCCCTAAACGGTCGATTCACCGGCGCCGTTCAATCGACCGGCACCGATCACTTGATCTGGGGATCTCCACTCTCTCTCTCTCTCTCTCTAGATTTCGTGCTTTTTCTTCCTATTTCTCTCTCTTTTTCCTCTCAGGAATTTTCTCGAACACATTGTGTCCATCACCTTCGGTTTTTCTTCGTTTTATAGCTCGATTTCCCGCCCAAAATTGGTTATCACCGACCTCCAAATCGGTTGTAACGAATCTCAGGTTCTGGAATTGGAGTTTAACACGTGCTATATTGATCGGATTGAGTCGGTAAAGTGGCGGGGTCAAAGATATTTCTGGTTTTATTGCACGTTTTGGGTGAGTCGGGCGAAGAAGACGGGCTTCTGGGTCGGGTCGGGTTGATCCGATCGACCCGAAAAGCCCGGTTTTGACTAAATTCGCAAATTACGCTCTATTTTGATCCCATTTTCAAAATTAAACCGCAAAATTGAATTCCTCATCACATTTTGAACCCAAATATGTGATTTTTCCCAATTTTTGTCATAATCATGTCCAAGATTTTCAAAATTTTATACTCGGGTTAGTAGGGTTTTATTCAATTCAATGCCTTAATGACCTGATTAGGCAAAATTAGTGCCGAAATTGAATTACCCACATCATATTAACCCTAGAAATGATGGTCTCATGGTTCGACAATTTCGAATTGGACACAATTCCCAATTTGGGCTCAAAATTCCGAATTTTCAATTGAATTTTGGGAATTTTTTATTGTTTTGACAAATTGTGCAATTGGACATACCATTATGTATTTCAAGGTCCCAGAATCATTTGTTGTGAAGACACTATGAATTTAAAATGACTAGAAAATATTTAATTGCATTTTTGGTTCAATTTGAGTTTAATTTTGCCCAATTTTAGGAAAAACATATTCCCGTATGAGATTTTTCAAAATTGATGATGCATTAATGAAATTGGATTTAAAATAAGACTAATCACTATTTTTATGGAATTTTCTGATTCCATTTGCTATTTTTCTTGATTTTCTCACTTATTTTGACTAAAAGAAATTTTAAAAAATGCTAAAAAATTTATTTTTGGTTTAGAAATAGGTTTCTAGGCTTGGCCAAGATTCCTAATCCTAATTTTGAGATTTTTTTAAAATATAAAAAAAGCTAAAAATCAGGTGTCAACAGTTGTCCCTCTTTGAGATTGAGCTCATTAGAGGTTGATCTCAAAAAACAAGGTGACACCTGAATTTTTAGTTGACTCAATGAACAAGACAAAATGGAAATTTCACAACAACTGATTAGGGAACTTGCTTTTGAAATTCGTGATCTAATCCAAAGGTTTTTCTTTTCAAAACACATTTTGAATGGTTCTTAATGATTGAGGGAGAGAAACTTACCTGTTTGTGAGCGTCTCTTTGTTGCTTATCCAAGAGTATGAATTGATGGCGGTGATGATTATGATGATTATTCTGATTTCGTGATTTAAGGATGAACCCACCCACGAACCATGAACACCTGAGGCTCCTCGCCTGAGGATTTGGAAATTTGCCTAGTGGTTCCTTACCATTATGACTTTAAAATTTGCCTAGTGGCTCCTCGCCAGTAGGACTTTGAAAATTTGCCTAGTGGTTCCTCACTAGTAGGTCTTTGGAAATTTGCCTAGTGGCTCCTTGTCAATAGGACTTTGGGAAGGCTTCAAACAATGAGTGCCTTGACCATGAGTTATGTGATTTTAAGGTTTCACTAACCTTTGTATGGTTTTTAGTTGATCAAAAACTATTTTGAAAAGTGGTTTTGAAATTAATCAAAAACTGTTTGAAGTGTGGTTTTTTTTAGCTTACCACAAACTGTTTGAAAACTTGATTTTAAGTTGACTAAAAACTTTTGAAACATGGTCCGGAAACATACATTCTTCGTATTAATGCATTTCAGACAATCAAATTTCCTTTTTAAGGAATTATTTGAACAAAGTGCTTGCAATCTTTCAAGAAATGCTTGAAATGATCATTTGGAAGACCTTCATTAGAAAGGATTTGTCTCAATCTATGAACTTGGTCTTTTCTTTATCTGATTGAAATGGGAATTGTCTGATATCCCTCCATTTTATCTCTCTTAACCAATCCTCAGGTGTTCGGAGATATTCGCAATGTATACAATCCAATTGATCTAATAAGGTCTTTCGGAGGACTGTAATGTTAGCTTCGTCAATGGCTATTCAAAGGATAGGCATTTTGAGGCCAAGAAAAAGGATTTCATCATATCTGACTTCGGATCTACAAGTTAAGAACCTCAAGGACAAGACAGGATATTATTGCATACACTTCTTTGAGCGATGACTTCTTGTCATAAAGTCATGTTTCTACTCTCAACATCCCAATCTGAAGAGTCTTTGGGGAGAGGTTGTATTGTTTGTATTTGGTAAGCTCAAAAAAGGCTCATTTGTTTGAATTCAGGATTTTTATGAAATTGGTGATCTTCTTGGCATCACCACCCCTTTCCTCTTTTGTTCACTAGGGATCTTTCTTTTTATGAACATCAGAGTCTCCTAAACGTTCATTACGATCTTTTTTTTTTGCTTAGACTCACTTGTTGTGATCTACGATCTCTCATGATCTTGGCTTTGTTTTGTCATGACCCTTTTTTATTTTGAGCTTTCTTTTGAACCCTCTTTTCTTTCTCATTTTTCTTGGGCATTTGGCTTTGCTTTTACCAGGCACACTGCTTTTTCATAGCCCTGATTCTTTTGCATCCTCTAATCTTTTAGCTTTTGACCTGTTTGAGTTCTAAGGACTATGTGTCATGCTTTTTTGTTTCTTGTCTATTTAAAGTGGATCATATGCTCATGCTCTAGTGTGAAGAGATGATCACCAATTTAGGATTCTGAAATGAATATTCAGGCTCAATTAGGCTTTGCCAAAGGTAATGTATTTGGGTATAAGAAATGAAGTGCTTTTCTTCCTCTTGGGATGTCTTGAGCTTCCATATGACTTCATCTGAAGTTATCACAGAAAGATTGATGCAAGAGTATGCAATAAAATCTTTCTTGATCTTATTCTCCCATGGCTGTCAACCACAAACCTCCTAGTTTGCCCTAATGTGAGGTGGTTCTTAGCAGGGTTGTTTTGGAAAAACTTCTCCATTGTTTCGGCTCAAATTTGATTTGCAAGGGATAAACGTGTTTGAGATAGTGAAATGACTGCCTTTCATCATTTCAATCCATGTAATCATTGCGAACATCACCTATTTCCTTTGGATGAGTTTTTTCTCACTCACTCCTTCACTTTGACTTTGAGTGTATAGGGGACGTGTTTGGATACGGCTTACCTTTCATCATTTGAAGGTCTTTCCATTCGATTTGATCCAAACTTTTTCTTTGAAATTTTTCAAAGCCTTTTGTCAAATTATCCCTTTTAGGGAATTTTGATATTTAATGCATTCTCAAAGAAAGCGTGTTTCAAAACTTTTGATTTGAAATATTTCTGAGGTATTTTCTTTTCAAAATAATCTGTTTTGTTTTGCTCAGTCTTAGTGTCATTCCGCTTGGGGAAGAAGAAGTTCGATTTTCTCTTAGAAAGGCAACTTCTTTAACATATGCACTCACGATTTAGGGATACCTGTCTGATCAACTTACCAAGATCCCTCTTATTTACATGTTTTTGCTTTGGTTCCACTAGGGATTCTTCTTTCGTTGCTCCCTTTTCTTTATCTCCCTGGGGATGATAAAAAAAAAGAAAAGCACATTAGGGAATATCAACGGAAAAATTGAATTGGAAGTGATACTTCCCTCTATTATTTGACAACTTCGTTAGGGATTCTGAAACCATCGACTGATTGGACTCCTTTTGCTTTCTTCTGCAAAGCAGATAAACATGTTCATAAAATGCGTGGTATGCATGATATGCAAGACATGCACATGTTCTAAAGTGACCCAAATCTCTTCTTGAATGTTCGTCTTCATTTCATGGGTAGAAAATATTGACAGCATCTGTATTTATAGGATAGGCCAATTCTGTTCCAGCCATATCTACGAGAATCAATGCTTCTCCAGGAAGGACTTTCTAGACAATGTATGGACCTTATAATTTGGAGTGAATTTGCCACGAG